ATACGAGACACTGGCGCCGAAGACGCCAGAATGGGCGTTGATGACGCCGATGTCGGTTCAAACCCTGTTTCTAGAAGATTCGACGAATTTGGACGGTTTTTGAAGGGTTTTTGGATGCACCTATTGGAGAACCGACTCAAGGCTCTATTTGGGGCCGAAATTGATCAGAAAAGGGGCTCCTCTTCATTCCTCCTTGCTTATTTTTGCCACACCTCGCCTCCATACACTTTTTCCATCTTCATTCCACCACCATTCAGGAGTCTATTAGTGATTTATCTTTAAGAGTTTAGAGTTTTTGTGGTGAGATTAAGTGTGAAATCTTCTTTGAGAGTGTTGGAGGTTTTCTTCTTCCTACATTTCCTAGGAGAGACTGCAAAGGATTTGTTTTGAGAAAGAGTTTCAGATAAGTGTTGTTTGTTTAATAGTGTTGTATGAACTTTCTTTTATATATAAAATTTATGTTTTGTTATATCTTTCTTATGAGTCTGAGTAGTCTTCTTTATCCTTCTCCCTCCTCTGAGATATGGTGAAATGAAGAGATAATATGGATGTACCAATATTAAAATATAAAATAAATTGTGATAATTTTTTCACTTCGAACATAATTTACTTTTTGATATGACTAATTGAATTGTTAAACTGTGTTGTGAAACATACGACCCAGGAAATAGAGTATGAGTCTACAAAAGAGTGAGGATCACATTTAATTCCATGAAGGAGTATTTCGTTCATGAAATTAAGTTCAAATAAATAGGGAAATATACGTTGTTGGGTGTAGAATTGGTGTAGTATTCTTTGTTGGGTGTAGAATTGGAGAATTTTTAGGGTGACATACTAAAATCCCCAATTCGGTCTTAGTGTTTGAAAACTAAAGCGAGAGTTAGCCTTCAGGTGAAGGGAAGTGGGAGCTTTAGAGTGGGAGCCGATATCCTCCTTGCCTAGCCACGGATTTAGGGAATAAACCTAAGCTTAGCCAAAACCTGGGATTAGCCAATGATCTTCTATAACACTGTATCAGGGTAAATAGTTAAAATTGCTCCTATTTGACACAACACATATTCAAACCATTTATCTCATCTCATTTTACCAAAATTTCATTGTAATGGGAAAGATGCTTTTTCACATAAGAACATAAGAAATCTTCATCACAAAAACATAGTTTAGTAGTTACTGTTTAAACTTTGCACTTTAGTTTTGCTAATAATTGAATAATTTAGTTTTTATAATATCTCAGCATTTGAAATTAGTGACAGTAATTTTGTTTCACTTTCTGTGAATTTCCTAGTAAATCTATCACTTCAAATTTAAACCTTCCACGTGGGATTGATATTTTGGGCTTAAATAGAAAGTCTTTTATTACTTGATAACGATACGCATACTTGCATATAATCCCAACATTAATTGCTTAAATTTCTTAATCATAAATACTGCATCAAGCTTTTGACGTCGTTGCATAGCGGTGTCACACTTATATAAATTTTACACAACTATATTTTCACCGGGATCACTTCACACAACTTCCATCCAATACTTAATCACTTTACATTTTAAGTAAAAAGATAAAGAAAAATAATCAGAATTCATGGAGAAAACACACCACACTTAAGTTTGAAAGTAGAAATCATGCAAATAAACAAGAAGTCTAAATTAAAACAAAATGTAGTCACAAAAATTAAAAAATATCTCAAATTTTCTCCACCAAACTCTTGAAGTTCCTTTAAATCTCTTTTCTTCCATTCTCTTACAATACTCTCTACTCACACACTACAACTCCTCTCTTTTTCTCTTTTCTAAGTATCTTAATTAATCTAAGAGAGAGAGGCATCAACGGTATCAAGAGAGGGAGAAGGTGTGTGTGGGAGGAAACCTATTCAATCCAATCCAAGTCCTTTTATAATTTTTCGAAAAATGTCTTGGTGCCTTTTCAAAATGTATCTATTTTCAATGAATCTTCCAAGAGTTGTCTCCTGTCAAAAATCAATTGAATGTATTTTTATGTCCATTAACTATTTCTCACGTTTTCACCAAGGGTTGTTTCAAACACCTCTTCAAAAATTCGTCCAAATTCATTAAATCATCAAATAACTACTTCTGGCGCTTAAAGCGCGAGGTACTTAGTACTTAGATGCGACCTTCTCGGTTTTACTGGCGTTCACAATACTTTTGCACACCTTTTTCATTTTTGCTTCAAATTTAATCATTTTTCACTCCTTTTACTATTTTTCATCCATTTGATTATACTTGAAAGAAAAACACACAAATACCTTTCATTAAAGCGCAATATCTCAAAAATATGTATAAAAATGTGTACATAAAGACTATATATTTTAGGTGTATCAACTACCAACATGTTAAACAACTTGATTATTTAACTACTAATATGTAATTAATTTAACATTTTAACATATTAATTAATTTTTTTGGTTAATTATTGAAAATATTTAATTAATTAAGGTTTTGTTAAATTAAAATTTTAATTAATTTAAAATTTTTATTAGTTTATTAAAATTTTATAAATTAATCAAAATTTTAAATAAATAAATAAATAAATAAATAAATAAATAAATAAATAATTATAATTTTTATTAAGTTATTTAATATTTTATTTAAATATTTATATATTTAAGGATATGTTTAAATAATTTAAGTTTTAACTTTATTACTATTAACTAAATTAAATTATTAATAATTTATTTAAAATATTATTTGTTTAATTGATTAATTATTAAGTTAATTAAATAGATTTATTATTAAATTTAGTACTTATGAGTTAATTAAATTCATTTAGGTTCCATTTAAATAATTCATGATTTAATTAGATGATTATTAATTTAATTAAGTATTTTATTAATTGGTTTAATTTAATTATATTTATATGTCCATTCATTTATTAATGAGATAATTAATAAAATTTAAGAGTTAATTAGTGGATTAATGTCTTACTTTAGTTATATTAATTTCAACAAATAATGATTAAGCTCATTTAAGGTTTTAGGGCATAACTTTGAAAAATGCGTTTCTGAAACAACAAAAATAGAATTTGTTTTGTGTTTGATGTTTTGAAAACTCATTTTATATGTTTAAAATAATAATAATAATAATAAAAACAACAGATGAATAAGCAAACTTCATTTTTTTGTTTTTTTTTAAATAGAAGACATAAAGGGATCCCAAATTAGACCTTAATTAATTAACGATGAGGCAAATTTAAGAGATTTTCTTATATGATAACTTCTTACATCTATTATCACAATTTTCTAATTAAAAACTTGCCAATATTATCAAATATCATGTAATAAAACTTCACTTAATCTTAAATCCCATGTATGATTTAGTCTTAGTTGAACCTTACTAAGTTAGAAATAAAAGAGACCAATAAGAGCCATAAAATTACAATATCAAATAAATTAATTATCCACTTTAATACCAATTTAAGAAAGCATAAAACCAAGGAATCTAGTTAAAGTTAAGTTCTAGGAGGACATACATTTAACTAACAAGTATTGTTAGTAAAAAAATAAAAATTATTGTTATTACGTTAGAATATGAAAAAACATCTTTATCAAGTTTAAGGAATGAAACCCATCAACTCATCGAACAAGTGAGATAGCTCGATCAGGTCACTTCGGTCAAACAATCTAACCATATAATATAACATGACAGTTCACCCAAGATTGATGATCTTCACAACTCGACCACAATTGGATATGACTTGAAGACATCATTAAGGGAAAACTCCTCAAGGAAAATAGATAAACTCTATCAATTCACCTCATTACTGAATAGGCGGACAAGAATGATTACCATAAAGTGAAAAACCTAAGAATGAGTATTTATGAGTAATGGTGTTTAAGATGAGATATAATAAAATATTAACATTCATGTAGAAGAAGAAGAAGATAAAAATAATAGATAAAATATTCTTTAAATTATTTTACTTACATTCTCTGTACTCAAAATTCCTTTTACAACTCTTCTATTAGTGATATGAATCTGTGAATAAATCATAATCCAATAAATATAAAATTTATTTTATTTTTGAATCAATCCAATTTTACCAATCTTTCTCTTGATGCACAACAACCCACACTTATCTTTATTTTTAAAAATAAATTGAGCCAAAATTTTCACAAATTCACGACATTAGGGTAGTAAACAAACCAACAATGAGCTGTTGAGCACTTGTTTATGCTTGGCTAGTTTAAAATTTTTTATATTCAAAATTAGCTTGTGTTCTAATTTGTTGTGAAATTTATGATTGTGTTTGATTCAGTTTATTTTAATGGCTTAAATTATGTTTTAATCTTGAAATATCTCGATATTAACTAAAAAAGTCATGTTTCATGATTAAGCTCGAAATATGAAATAAATTCAATATATTTTGAAGCATCATATAGTGTTTAACTATTAATAAAAAATCTAACGATATTATATTTTCTTACTTGAATGCATAACAATGACATTCTGACAAGTGCAAAATAATATCAAAAATGATGGAGGGTCGCATTCATCGTTGTCAATCATTCTTGGGCAAGAAAAAAAATGAGGATTCATGAGTGTTGTAAAGGACAATAATTTTTCTAGTCATCGTGACATCACGTTAATGCAGTCATTGTTCAGCTTATCACTCATAATATTTAGAATTATATTAATAAAGGGCAATTTCAAAAACATAATAGAATGATTTATAAGGAAATTCGTAATACTTCAATGTGATATTTGATTAATCTTCTTCCATTAAGGTGCTTAAAATTTAAAAATATCTGCATTTTATTTACACTAAACTTTAAAACATCGAAACAATTAAAAAAATCCTTGAAAACAACAACAATATCACGCCAATCTGTTCAAACTATTAGAATTGAGCTGAATATCATTGCACAAATATTTTTGTCGCCCATTCAAAAAAAATAGCCAAAAGACTAGTCATGCTGGTCATCTCGAAACGCTAACAACAGCGGCTAGCATCAACCAGAACCAGACGCAGGCGCCGCCTAAAGCGAATCAAACCTTCCTCGCTTTGCGGCGGTACAGACCGGGTCAGCCGTACTGTTCGGTTTATCTCATCACCGCCTCATCAAAGCAGCTTGCTTCCCTACCCACCCCACTCACACTCTCTTAATTTCCCATTTTTTCTTCTTAACCGGAATAGCCGTAACCCCCCGGTCTCGGCATTGCTTCGACTCCACTCCTCTTTCTCTTTCTTCTTTAACTTCCTTACCATTAATTGGCGGAGAGCTAGCTTCAATGCGGAGCTATCGGCCTGCATTTCCCATTTAGAAAGTGAAGTCTACGTTAGGGTTCACTTTTCTCTTCTGGTGGCTTCTCTTCCTGTTTTTCTTTCCTTCGTTTCCTGTGCGAATCTTGATATCGGCAGCGGTGAGAATGCAGCATTGGCGGCCGGAGAGCGCGGTCATGACCTTCGATGAGGTCCCCATGGAGAGGAGCAAGAGCTTTGTCAAGGCTCTTCAGGTGAAGTTCATCTGATGGTTATTTGGGTTCGAAATCTCTACTCAGCTTTTGGCTTGTATTTTGTGTTTCTGTGTTTTTGTTATGGAATTAGATAGGTTTTAGCAGATTTTTACGTTGCCCAGTGAGGTTCTATGTTCGTTTTCCAAGTGCTGCGAAGTAAATTCTTGTTTCTGAAAGTGTTTCTGTGTGATTCTAGCTTTTAGCAGCTTCTCTCTGTATTTACTGCATCCATGTGGGTTCAAAATTATTCCGAGATCGCTTGGAGGGTGAGAACTTGAAGAGTATCTTTGTTATTTTGGTGGGGTGTTGATCTTAGGGATGAGGCACTGTTATTATTATTATTATTTGTCTTGCAAGGATCTTTATCTTTATGTGGAAGAATTACGGCAGAACATTAGATTGACTTGTCAAACTTATTAGTGGTTGCTTACTTGAGTATTTAAAATTCAGGAGAATATTAAATATAGTGTAAATTAAATACAATGCATTTGGTTGGAACTAATTAAAAGAATCTAAAAATCGAATAAAAAATAAATAAAAGACAACACATGGCACAATAAAGATGGCCTCACAACAGGGGTGTTGGGTCTTGGAGTGACAATCAACGGAGGCTAGGGGAGGAGGCCACGACTTCACTAGGGCTTAGCAGTTGTTGTCGTGGGTGTAGAGTACTAAGGGGTGGTTGTGAGGGTGGCGTTCACATTGTTTGGTCTGAGACATTGTTAGGGTGGAGGCATTATCTAGATGGGTATAAGGTAGTCAGGTTTGTTGCCATTGTGGGTACAAGGATGCGTTTTTATTTTCGCAATCATAAGTCATTATTGTCATGCTTCAAGGTCAACGTGCTGTGCAAGGTAGCATGTTAGTGTGGGCTGCATCTGGAATACTTTGAATTTGCCCAATTTATGTGAAAAGAGAATTTGTTGAAATTGAACTATGTTTGTACTATAAACTCCTCCATAAAATAATTGTATTTATTTCTCTAAGAAAAATAACCTTAGTTTTCAAAACCCTTTTATTTAGTTTACTCTACACTTCTAATGCATTCAAACAAAGAACCCCTTAGGAAAAACAAAATATAACTGTCTCCTATTATAAGGCATTTTGTTATTTTAAATATTTTGTTTAATAAAATAAATATTGCTTATGTGATTTTCATGTAAGAAGTATTCACTTGGCAATACTATTATTTGCCTTATTTGAATATCATATGTATATGTGTCAGCGCTTGCCCTAATTGGATTATTCATAATATGTGTTCGAAGAATACTTTATTTAGAAGGCCCACTCTTAAAAGACTTGGCATGAACAATTCATTGTTTATTAGTTTTTACTATACTTAAATTTTTATTGTTATTATTTTGTTACATGCTTAAAATCATCTTTAGTAGGCGAGGCTTGTTAGAGACTTGAATTACTGGTGATGAGTGCAATTATATGTGATGAAGTATCTCTCTTCTAAGGGTGTCTATGCATTTCATTTTTGTATCTCACCTCTCCCTTCCTGTCTCCATCTCTCCATGACCTTTGTTTCTACTGGCCAACTTTCCCTCTCTTATTCCCATCTTTGGAGTGCTTCTAAGTTCTGATTGAAGTATTTACTTTACTTTGATTAATCAAGCTATTGAACCACTATCCATATCCTCATCAAATGGTATAATCACACAAACCTATCGCATTTTGGGCGTCTTTCTGTAAAAAGGTTTGTCTTTTATGAAAGATTTATGTTTGATTTATTTTGATTACTCTTCTATTACTTTTCATTTGCTGTCATTGCACATGCAAAGTCCTTGTATAAATAAAGGATGCTTGTAAGAAACTTAGAGTAATGATGACAAATATAATTATTTATTATGAATCATCTATCTCATAGAAGGTGACTGATCAATTCAATTTTTCTACATCACCTCTCTTTTTTACCACTCTTTCTTGTCCTATTTTCTCTTTTCAGTGTCATCATTAGAGTGAATCTAACACAAGCCCCTCTTCCCTTATTTCATTAATGTCATTTGACCACAACCTTCATTCTCATCAATTTATATAATAGCTAAATCAATTTTGTAGTTATTATTCTTCATAGGGTTTGATCGTTTTGTCCTTATGTTCAGTTTTTAGACTGTCCACTATTCTTTTTCTTTTTCATTACAAGTAATATAGTCGGCAAAGTTTAAATTCTTTTTTAGATTGAAAACAACCATCTCCATGAAAATGACGCATAAGGAAATCTAACTCTAGAAACACTTCTATGTTCAAACCAAAACTCTACCGTGCATTCAAAACTAACTTGGCCATTTTCTCTTTTCTCCCATTAACATTTTCCTCCAACTACCCTACTTGACCCAATCCAACTCAATGTAACCCACATCTAACTAGTTAATCGAAGCACTTGAGTACACCCTGCCCCTTTTGCTCCACTGAAATTTTTGGTTTTTTCTTTCTTTTTTTTGTTTTCATTTTCTTTGGAATTGAATGATTTTTTGATTTTATTGCTCTTCACTGGACCCTAAAAACTTCTATATTCGACAGTTTGGCTAATTCAATGACCTGCTTCTGATTTCTTCATAAATTGAAGCTTATAATTTACCCTCTGCTTTACTCGAACCAAACTATCCATCCCCCAACTGCATATTGTACTAGCCCATATCTCTATTAGAATCATTTTAACAATATCATCCCATTTGTTTTGTAATCTCATTCCTTTATTATGGGATTATCTTATTATAATAATTTTGAGACCCTTGATAAAATTTAAAATTTCTATTTCTTACATAAGTATTATGATCCCTAATATGAACTATGATGAGCCTTTTTTTGACAAGAGGCATAAAAACTTACTTTTACCTACTCCCATTATGATACTGATGGCTGCATTCACTTGCTTATCCTTATTGCAAACATCATATTATAATGACACCCTTACTTAATACCCATCAATTGAAAATTTTGGTGCAGCTTACACAAATTTTGTAAAATATCTGAAGGATAAGATGCCCCCTCTTCCCTCGTACCATAATTCACAATATGTTGATCCTCAATCTTTTAATGCATCCAGTTCATGGTATAAGCCCAACTATTTTATTACATCGCTAGTTGCATCTACATGAAAATTCTTTTCAGTTTCACAAACTCATTATATTCTGCTAGACCTAAAGTTCCACCAACCTCATTCACTCTTCTAGTCCCGCTATCTCAATCTACTTATGTAAAGAAGGACGATGATCAGTCACCTTTGCTTGAACTTATGCCTATGCTTAAGTGTAATAGTGTTGTTGCTGTTGAGCTTGATTTTGTGCCTGAAGATGAGGTTAAGCTGGAGCTTTAACGAGAGGTTTTAATAGTCTTATGTGGCATTTGTGTTTAGGAGCATCTTGCCATTGTTGTTGGTCTCTACTTGATACAAATGGAGGCACATGCTGTTTCCTAGCTTCTTATGTCATTGTCCATTCCATCACAGGATGAATTTATTTTTCCACTGCTGCCACCATCAAATTTTTATGTGGCATTTACATGAATACCTCCCAACTTATATGTAGTTACATATCTAACACCTAAACTTTACTTTTTTACATTTATACCACACAAATCTATCATATCACATAAAAAATACGAAATTTTAACTCTGAAAATGTAAAATACACCTTTTCATGCATAGGTGAGGTGGCATATATGTAAAAATTGAAGTTTAGCTATTAAATATGTAAATTGCTATACATGATATCATACTTAGTGGCATCGATCATGAAAATGGATTCTCCATCAACTGTTAAGGTTTCCATTTAAGCTGCTAGTCACTCTTTATAACATTGCTTACTTCATTATTACAGATAAATTTCATGCTTTCGCTGCCACTATAGTCATATTATCATAAGATCATTGCTCATGTTGTGCTTCGATACATGAAGTATGTTAATGTCACATCTGAAGCCCTTTGATTCTATATTGGATGTTGATTAAGACCAACTATTCATATTTTTAGGGAAAATTTTCTCACACCCGAAGAGAGTTGATGGAGGATACAAGCACTTAACGTATTGTAAAATATCTGGACATGTGAGCACCTATTGTATTGAGATTATTCATGTAATAAAGGTGTAATCAAATGTTGCTTTATTAGAGGATCTTTTCATAAAAGACTCGCCTTTTATGAAATCTCTGTAATTTACTGTCTTATTCTACATTTTCTTTTATAAAATATGTATGGTTTACTTTTTCGTATTCTACATTGATTACTTTCTTATGTTACTCTTCTTATGTTAATTCATCACATCACATGTTAATCCTTGTATAAAGAGAGAATGCTTGTGGGAAACTTGAATTAGTGATAATGAATACAACTATTTGAAAGTAATTATCTCTCGTAAGGTGTGATCGCCAACTTCAATTTCTCTCTCCCTCCTTCTGTCTTTCTCAGCCATTTTTCCCTGTTTTTCTCTTTCTTTGCTGATTTCCTCTTCTTTTGTTGTTGGCGCGCATCTAATATACATCTCTCATCCGTAGCAATCAAACTATTCAAGCACAATAATCATTTTCATCATATCTATTATTTGCTGGTTGTTTACTACTTTTCAAGTAAAGCTGCATTGAGATTTTGTCTCCTGACTTTAGTTCCAATGATAGAAGTGCAAAATTGCTTCCCATTCGGTGCAGGTTTGAGGGCAGATGTGAGCTTTGCTTCTTTCCTTTCCCAAAAAACCTGCATAGAGATTTTTTTGTATCCTAATTTTTTTTCTGGGCTGGCCCATTAACATATATATTGGGATTGTTCTTTGGGTTGTTCAGTTCGCAAATATGTATGTGTGTATGTGTATGTATCATTTGTACATACGTACGTACGTACATATGTTTTTATGTATTTTGAATAATAAAATTTTAAATGGCATTTCAATTTTATTTGCTGACATCTAGTAATTAGGCTACCTAAGAATAAAAAGATTAGTACAAAAGCTGAAAAAATTTGGATATGATTCTAAATAATTGCATATTTTTTAAGTATAACTATTTCATTTAATTGATAATGTTATTTGAATTTGTAAAACCCTTTTAAGTATAATAAAGCTGAACTCTTAAACATCGTGGCATATTTTGCTATAATGATTGATATTTCATCAGAAACTTTGAGTAATGCTCTTATGGGAGCACTTTTGGGATGGGTGGCCTATTGGGAAGTTATATATTTGGGATAAAATCTTGAGAGCATTAGATCAAAGCAGATAATGTCTCGAACGTTAAGATAATTTTAAATAATTGCAAATTTTTTAGGCATAACTATAAATAATCAAATAGCTTGATTTAATTAATAATTTTATTTGAATTTGTTAAATCCTTTAAATGTAATGAAACTGAACTATTGAACATCGAGACGTCTTTTGTTATAACGATTGATATTTCATCAAGAACTCTGAAGTAATGCTCTTATGGGAGCACTTTTGGGATGGGTGATCTATTGGAAAGTTACATCATTGGGACAAAATCGTGAAACCATCAAATCAAAGCATATACCATCTCGAACGGTAGGAGTTTGGGTTTTACAAATGGTATCAGAGCATTACATCAACCTGAAGATGGGAACTAAGTGTCTTATAGAACAAAACGCTGTGCCTTGGGAGACTACCATTGAACACAAAGTGATATGTGGTGGGAGCCACCTCTTGAATCTGTAAGGGCTAACTATAGGATCATATCTGCATTGAGACATTTTATGGTAACAGTTGGAATTTCATGGGAAACTCGAAAGTGAAGTGTGCCCTTATGGGTGCCCTGGAATGAGTGACCTATTGGAAAGTTAATCATTGGGAAGAAATTGCGAGGCCATTAGATCAAAATAGAAAATATACCTATGGGTGAGATTTTGGTTTTTTATAGAATAATGCTAGTATTTAGATAAAACTACTACCGAATAGCCCCTTAATTTGATATATATCTGTTGCAAATCATCTTGATCAGTTCTTTTCTTTCATTGGGATAGGGTTGTTGTAGGGATGATTTTTTATTTATTTAATTTTTATTGCATTTTTGTTTTCTTAGACTTTCTTTGGGGCGGCTTTTGCTTTTGTGTTTTCGTTGTTAAAAAATACTTTTTCAACCTTATTTGTATTATACTCTCTCAAACACAGCTTTTTAAGGCAAAATTTTGGAGTAATAGTGAGAAAAATGTGCCCTACTTTCAATTGACTTCTTCTCCAACCATAATAGCAGTCACCTACTTTCAATTGACTTCTTCTCCAACCATAATAGCAGTCAAAGAGTTGTCTCAGGGCGGCTCTCGCTACTTTCCATATATTGTTTTTTTCTAGTTGCTCTGCCTCTTCCCTCTTGCTAATTGTGCTATTTACCTTTTGATGAGCAGGAACTGAAGAACCTTAGACCTCAATTATACTCTGCTGCTGACTATTGCGAGAAGTCTTACCTTCACAATGAACAGAAACAAATGTATGTTTATTTTAATTGATTGGGTTTCTATTAAAACAACTGCTCATATTATTTGTGTATGGAATGCCATGTTTTGCACGTGGGTCATTGTTTTTATTAGTTTTTTTATCTATTTTGTTTTTGCTGTTATAATAGTTGTGCATTTGAAAGATTTTTTTTCTTCTTTCTTCCACATGTTCTAATGATTATATATATATATATATATATATATATATATATTTGGCACTGCAAATTTTCAATTTTCATTGTTTTGATATCATTTCTACTAGATAATTCTTTTGTGGCCTTGGGACTTATTTCAGCAAACACAACATGCATTAATGTGATTAGGGGAGTAAATATGTCGAGTTATCCTTGGCTTGAGTTTGAGCTCGAGCTCGAGCTTAATTATATGAGTTTGAGTTAATTCATGAGTCAACTCATTTATTATTAAGGAAAAATATTTTTTGTTTTAATCAATTATTGTAATAATTTGATAATAATAAAATGGGCAATTAGAAGAGAAATAATGATAAATCTTTTGATATAACAATAATAATAATTAAATCTTTTTAATATTTTATTCTAAAACTTCTAAAATTTATTTTATTTTCAGTTCATTTTATATTAATATTTTTTTAAAGGAGCCGGCTGATTAGCTAACAGTCGAGTTGGGGCTGGCTTATATTCGTCTTGTTAATGAGTAGTTTATCAAGCCGATCCAGAGCTGGCTCACGAGTTGGCTTTGCTCAGTTACACCCATAATGTTGATTATGATATGTATTATCAATTCTGTGACTTCTTTTGGACATTGAAAATTGTTCAAAAATAACAAAGCATTTACTCGGTCTGCTACCGACTTGTAGTTTTTTTTGAATTAGTGGATTGTTATTAACAAATATAATTTTTTTGTGCTTATTTATGTTACTAAACATTATTCTTAGAAACAGGGTTTATAGGTGCATAATATAATTGCACACAAAAAATTTCAAAGTTCTTCGAGAGAGAGAACTATTTTATTCTCCCTTTTTTTTAGTGCGGAGTGCAGTGTTTCTCAGCTGTGTCCATGCCGTCAGTGTACAAATCTTCAGCCCTATAAATCTTTATCCCTCTACAACTAGCTATTTTTTTTCTATAGTGATTGTGGGTATGGAATAAAAAGAATAAATGGAGCAGAATGCATTGAGCTCATACTGCTCATTAAGGAGTTGTGCAGTGCCAAACATATCTCAGACACGAACATGCGCTCAACAAAAATTAAACACAGCGTCTATGGGTTCGATTTAAATAATATTAAAAAACACATATCCTATTTTATAGTGAAATTTTTTTAGAAAATATTTTTTAAACATAAAAAAACATATTTGGTGTATTTTTTATAATTAAAATAAAAAATTGATTATTTATTTTTTATTTAAAAATTAAAATTAATGTTATTAATTTTTTATTTTTTTATTATTCTGAATAACACTGCCATTGTTAGGTCCCAAGCCCAGGATGTGAAAAGTGGAAGGTTGCGTTAGGTAATTGACAACCAACATAAAATTTTGTCAAAAAAATCATGAAATTAATCATTTTGATTATTGTGTAAATACTAGGGCGTCCTCAAGAAGCGACACGCTGTATGATGTGAATATAATGAAAAGTGTGCAAGGGCCGCTACACCGACGTTCTGGTTGTAGTGTTAAATGAGCAAGGGCTCCCACGTTACGGATGAATGCGTGTAAAAAATTTAGTTCATGAAACTAATATTAGGATAGAATCTTCGAATATTGCTACTCTCACTGGTAAAATTAATGAAATTAGTTAATATCATGATTCATATAAGGATAAATCTCTTATGTATGAAAGAAACTAAATGGGTTGGAGAAAAGGCTACGGAGATTGATAACTTAGGCTTTAAACATTGGTATTCAGGTAAAAGTCACACTAGAAATTGTGTAGGTGTAATTATAGATAAGAGTTTGAAAGATAATGTTGTAGAAATTAATAGAATTGGAGATAAAATTATAACCCTTAAGATTATTGTTGATTATAAGATTTTTAATATTATAAGTGCTTATGCTCCGCAAGTAGGTTTAGATATAGGTTCTAAAGATAAATTGTGGAATGACTTAGAAAACTTAATAAAACTGATATCTCTTGAAGAATGAATTTTTATTGGAGGAGATTTAAATCAACATGTCGGTAGAGTGGTAGAAGATTTTAGAAATATTTATGGTGGCTACGGTTGTGGAGTGATTAATGAAGAAGGTAGAGCCATATTAGATTTTATTTTAGCGTATGATTTGTTATTGCTAATAATATGAATGGATCTAATAAAACATAAAGTGATTATTTTGCTTTTGAGAAGAACATATCATCGGGAATATAAAGATTATAAGGTTATTTCAAGTGAAAATTTAAGTACTCAACTTTAATTATTAGTTCTAGATTTTAAGATAAATAGTTGTAAAATTAAAAATACTTGGAATATTTTCGTATGGGGTATCTAAAAGACACAAATAACATTATTTTTATGAGTAAAAGTCATGATTGGGAATGTTCATGAAGCAGCAAATTCTATGTTGGATAAAATAACAAACACTATTCAACAATTGACAAAAATGGTACTTGAGAATCTAAGGAAAAAGTTTCTATAATTAAAAATAGTTGGCAGTGGAATAATAATGTGCAAGAAAAGACAAAATATAAGAAGTTATGTCACAAAAATTGGTTTAAATGTAAAAGCTTAGAGAACTGGAAAAAATATCAAATGACATGTTGAGAGTCTAAGAGAACAATCTGTGACGCTAAAAATTCTGCTTTTAGTGATCTTTATAATAGATTAGATACTAAGGATGGGGAAAAATATATGTATAAACTAGTCAAACAAGGAGAAAATAAAAGTAAAGATTTAACTCAAGTGTATTAAAAATGAAAATCAAAATGTGCTTTTCTAAAATAAAGATATTTAACATAGTTGGGTGAGTTATTTTGATAAACTTTTTAATGAAGTTTTTGAAAATACAATCGGCCCAAGTGATTTTAATATCGTTAATAATAATAAAACGTTTCTTTTTTACCGTTGCATTAGTAAAAAAGAAGTTGACGATGTTTTAAAGAAAACTAAGAGTGAAAGGTCTGTAGGACCCGATAATATCCCAATTGAAGTGTGGAGATATATAGGAGATTTGGGAGTTTCTTGGCTTGCTAAACTTCTTAATATTAATTATTTTAAAAACAAAAGATGCCCGAGGAGTGGAGGAAAAGTATTTTGGTAGATTCTTGTGCAAATATGAGACACTTCTATTATTAAAAATATAAGACACTTCTATCATTAAAAATATAAGACACGAACACACGTCATACACGGTATTATAATAAAAATTATTAATATTATTACTATATTATTATTAATAACTAAATAAACAAAATATTAAGAATAATACGAAAACAACAACAACAAACCTTTATTCCACTAAGTGGGGCTGGCTAAATGAATCCTTTTTCTCCATTGCGTCCTATTGAGCGTCATATTTTCATTTAATTCTAATAAATTAAGATCATTTTTTATACAATATGCCCTAGATTTCTAGGTCTACCTCTGCCTTACTTAACATAAGTTGAATCTAAAATATCTACTTTTCTAATCGGATCATCGGATGGTTGACGTTTAATGTGACCAAACCATCTAAGACGACTCTTTCTAATTTGCACAAGAATCTACCAAAATATTTGTCTAAATTCTTGTATAAATTCTTGTCCAAGAAATTTTCGTAGACCCGATGGTTGATTATTATTGTTCAAATTATTTAGGTTTGAGGTTAGTTTTGATTCTTTTATTTATTATTTATTTATTTTATTAAAGAAAAGCTCTTATTTGATTTGGTTTGAAATTTTCTAATTTTTATATATTTTTGTTAATTTTTAAAAATTTTATTAATTTTTATTGAATTTTTGAATTAAATCTCTTTGTATGCTTTTTAAGACGTATATCAAGATTTAATGTTATTAAAGTTCATAAAATTCAACAATTCACTTAGAAAAAATGAATATAATTTTTATAAACTCAATTATGATTATTTATTGAATTTTTATGAATTATTTTGTTGACAATTTAGTGATTTAGGGTTTTGAATATTCTGATTTAAATGACTTCAAAATACTTGAAATGATTTTTGGTGTTTCATATTGAGTTAACAACATTTCTGTAAAAGTTTTATGAATTTTTGAATTTTATTTGATTTAATAGAATTTTTTTGATTTTTCGGTTATTTTTATTAAAAAATTCATAATAAATCAAATTGATCTCCAAAATACTTGAAATCTTATAGAGATGTTTAAAATAAGATTCCAAACAGTCTCAAAATTTTTCAAGTTATTTTGAGTTCATTTCAGATTTTTTATGAATTAGTGAATTTATTAATAAATTTATTGTCAAAAAATTATGAGAAATTATTAAATTGAAATGATTTTTATATATTTCAGTTCCTTTTAATTCAATTAACCTATGGGTAAAAACCTCATTTAATTTAGAGTTCTAGAAATAAAGTTACTCAATTTTTATTAAGAAGGGTATATTTGTAAATACCTTTTTTACACTCAAACAACTTTTATTCTGATTAGAAAATAATTTTTGAAAGTTCTTCAGTTATTTGACAGTTTGATTCAATTTGTTGTGTTTTACCACTTTTATATCTTTCATTAAGGGAGTGAAAATGACAAAACTACCCTAAATTACTACCCAAACTACCAAAGTCTACTATATTTCTGTTGATTAATGTATTAATCTCTTTTAGAATCCGATTAATCATTTTTTTTTAAAGTTCATTTGTTTAACTTTGATATTTAAGGTAAGAAAGGGTATTTATGTAATTTTGGGAAAATTGCCTATGTACCCTAACTTGCATTTTTTAAATGATTTTTTTGCTGAATTTTCAATTTATCAATTTCCAATTTTTCAAAGTTCAAATGTCTGATTTTACTATGGTAAATGTGGATTTATTGAATTAAAAGTTAAGAGAGGGTAGAAAATTACA